CGCTGCCCGGGCCGGGCGCCGGGTGCGGCGAGTCGGCCGCACTTGGCCGCCGCCCCCTCGCGGAGCGCGGAATTGGCCGGGCGCGGGGTTCCGTCCCCGGGACGCTGTCGGCGCTCCGAGAACCCCTCGGATCCTGGAAGTGACTTCACGCCTGACACAGACGCGTCCTTGTTAGCCCTCTGGAAGGGTCTTGTTAATTGGAAAAGATGGAGGCGTGCGCCCCAAACTTTTTTTGGATAGACATCTCCGGCCAAATGGGGCCATTAAATTTTTTTTTTAAATTTATTTATTTATTTATTTAGTGTGTGTGTGTGTGTGTGTGTGTAGCCAGTTCAGCCCACCAGGGGCGGGGCTGGCTGGCATGTGGTGCTGGGGATTGAACCGCAGTCCCTGTGCTTCTGTTTAGCTTAGCTTGTTCTAAGTAGGTGCTTTAGACCACTGAGCCATCTCACCAGCCCCAGGGGCCATTAAATTTTATTACCCAAAACTCCATCCAAATTCTGCTTTCCCCAGACTCGCCCTTCTCATTCCAGGCGTCCATACTCACACTCGGGTGAAAAACAAGCCCCCCGCGCCCCGTCCTTATTTTCTTTCAGTTCATTTAACCAGTAAGTTCCTTGTGCTCGAGTTGGAAGCTACTCTGATCGCTTGCTCTCCAGTCTCATTGCTATTATTTTATTTGGAGCTAGGGTTCCCCAAAGCTTCCGTACTGGTTTCCCTGATTATATTCTCATGCTCCAACATTGTTCTTATGCTGACACCCAAAAAGATTTAAATTTGAAAGCTAAGTTTTTAGTTTAATCGAAGCTGTGCATGCGTATGCTTAAATATAGTCAAGCGTATCTGAAACGATTGTTCGGAAAATTAGCAGTTCCTCTTGCCCATAATCAGTCTCACCAAAGGAAAGTGCTTTCCTCTTTTTCAGTTTTTCTTTCTTTTTTTTGAATGTAGCTCAGGCTGGCTTAGAATTCACTGTGTAGCCCAGGCTGGTCTCAAACCTGCAGTGATCTCCCGCTCTAGTCTTCTGATTGCTGGGATTATAGGTGTGCACTACCGCCCCTTCTCCCTTTTAAAAATTGTTTAGCTGGTCATGTTCTTACCACTGATTTCAAAATCGTTTAAGTCATTTAGCAGAATACTTAGATTCAGCAGATTTTTACCTTCTGGAACTCTTTATGCCTTCCAACCTGCTCAGTTTTGCTGGTTGTCTTCTGTGACTGTTGCAATTTTAACTCCTTGGTCACCACTAGTTAACTTGCATTGCAGAGACAAAGCAGGCCTCGTGGGTGGGTGTAGTGACCTATGCCGGTAATCCCAGATACTCTGTAGGCTGAAAGAGGAGGAACCAGTTTAAGATCAATTTGGGCAATTTAGAGAGACTGTGTCAAATTTTTTTTAAAAGGCTGAGGGTGTAGCTCAGTGGTAAAACATCTCTGGTTTCAGTCCTTAGTACCATAATAAATAATAAAGGGATAGGGATGTAGCTAAAATGTGAAGGCCTGGGGTTCTATTCAGGCATCTTGGCGAAAACAGCCTGGTTTGTTTTCTGATCGAGTATCATCTGTGTGTTTCTGGAAGCTAACAGGACCCTCCTACCTCTTTTATAAATTGATCACTCTTTTTTTTTTTCCTTTAAAGGCTACCTTTCTTTCTTCCTTTCTTTCTGTGTGTGTGTGTGTGTGTGTGTGTGGGTGTGTGTGTGTGTGGCCAGCTCAGCCCACCAGGGGGCGGGGCTGGCTGGCATGTGGTGCTGAGGGATTGAACCGGGGGTCCCTGTGCTTTGCTAAGCTTGTTTTGAGTAGGTGCTTTAGACCACTGAGCCATCTCACCAGCCCCTTTAAATTGATTAAGTTTATTGGTACATTTTAGATACTAACCCCTCTTTGATAAAGTGCTCAATCACTGATCATCTACATGTGTGGTGAATCTCAAACATTTTATGCTAAACAAAAGATTTTTTAAAATGTATTTAGTACATAGTCTACAGGGTCTCACTACACAGATTGGACTCATAGTGATCCTCCCAAGAGCTGGGTTTACAGGCACAAGCCACCAAACCCAGTCTCAGTGTGGGGCTCAGTGCGCCCCAGGGGCTGAGCTCTCTGGCCAGCCATTTATTTTTATTTTTATTTTTATTTTTTTTTAAAGCAGCAAGGTCTTGTGTAGTTGCCTGAGGTACCTTTCAACTTGGAATCCTCCTGCCTCCCCCCAAGTAGCTGGAAATACAGCATTTGTCACCACAAAATAGTGGTTATGTTCCTAATTTATCGAGAGGTGAATTTTGTTAAAATGTCCTTTCTCCATTACTGGTTTAATTCTTTTTTGGGGGGGGGGTACCAGAGATTGGACTCAGGACCCTGCACTTGCCAGGCAAGTGCTTATTCTACTGAGTTATCACCCCGTGCCTGGTTTAGTTCATTTATTGCAGTTTTCCTTATTTTCTGTTCATGGATATGGTTTAATGACAAATTTTAATTATTTTGGAGGCATTTCTGGCATCTGGCACTTGGTCATAATGTATAATTTTTATAACTTGATGGATTAGGCTTGTTAATATGTTGAGGATGTTTTTATTTAAGACAGGCTTTTTATAGTTCAGGCAGGCCTTGAACTGATAAGGTAGCCCATGTTGATCTTGAACTTGCATCTATCCTTCTGCCTCAGCTTCCCTTACTAGGCATGGGCCTCCTCCATGCCCAGTGTTCTTTTTATTTATTTATTTTTATTTTATTTTGTTGCCCAGTGTTCTTGTGTACCTTATTGTATATAGAGATATTATTGTGCTTTTTTTCCCCTTGTAGTCTCCATGAAATTAGATCTTGATTTTTTTTTTTTGTTTGCGTAATTAATAACTGAGTATCTTTTTGACAAGTTTCAGATTCAGAACCAGGCATGTATTAAAAAAAAAAAAAATTATTGTATTCAGGGTTTCACTATGCAGCTTGGACTCTAGTGATCCTTCATCTCAGCCTTTCCCGTGCTGGGATTGCAGTCAGGGCCAGCATGGCATGCAGTACCAGGGATCAAACTTGGGTCCTTGCACTTGCCAGGTAGGTGCTTAGACCACTGAGCTATCTCCTCAGCCCACAGGCATATCTTCTTGTCTGAACTATCAGTAGCATTTGTTTTTCTTCCTTGGTTTGTGTATGTGTTACTGGGAAATTGAACCCAGTGCTTTGTACTGAACTACATCCCAACATACTTTATTTTTGTTTTGTTTTTAGGTTTTTGAGACAAGGTTTCTCCATGTAGTTCAGTGGTGTTGGAATAATGAAAATAGCCTAACCCTAACCTTACTATTTTAGCCAAAAATATTTCACTCAAACACATCAATCATTTAGATCTAACTTCTCATGTAGAGAAAATTCAAAGAAAAAAGAAAAATACTACACCACCACCTCTCTGAGGACCAATCAGACCAATCTAAAATTGCAACACATATGAGCCAGCCTTGTCAGTAAATCAGTGCCCCTGCGGAGAAGGGAGTGCTAGACTGAGACAGACTTAAGGGATGGAACAACCAGTAGGCACCATCAATGTACATCTAATTCAATGTGATTTCAACAGGCAAACTATCATGAGCCATTTCTTGGGTCTCCTTGGAAAGTTTGAAAAGTCTGTATATTAGATGAAATGAAAATTTACTGAAATCAATAGGTAGAAATTGTTTAATGAAGGGCTGGCTTCATAGCTCAGTGGACTAAAGTGCCTGCTTAGGCAGAGCATGGTAGCTGAGGGTCGAACCCCAGTGTGTGGTGCTGGCCTGCTGGGCAGGCTGAGATAGTAATTGAGACTGGGCATGGTGGCGCACGCCTGTAATCCCAGCACTTGGGAGGCTGAAAACAGGAGAATCCCATCGAGTCTGATCTATGTAGTGCGACCCTGCAGACCCTGCAGACGCTGTAGACCCTGTCCTAAATAACAGGAAAAAAATTGTTTAGTGAATAGAGCAGGCTGCAAAGTAACATGAAAAATTTGATTGCAGGCTTGGGGAAAACTACAAAAATCTACAACTGGGCATAGAAAAGGACAAGGGGAAGTGTTAACTAAAGGATTGATACTAATCTCTGAGTAGTTGGAATATCATGCTTCTATATTTTATGTTTAATTGTCTGCATCTTCTAATTTTCTCCGCGGAGGGCCTGGTGGATACCCCCTTAGCCGGAGCTTGGAACAGACTCACGGCCGACGCAGTGAGTTCAATGGCTGAGGTGAGGCACCCCCGGGGCCTCATAACCCAATTCAGACTACTCTAATTTTCTACGAAGATTATGTACTGCTTTAGTAAGTTTTCATCTAAAAATGGGCAAATAGCTGGACATGGTGGGACAAGCCTGTTTCCAGCAGGGTGAGAGACTGAGGCAGGAGGATCCCTAATTCAAGCCCAATCTGAGCAATTTAGCAGCATAGCAAGACCCTTAGCAAAACACAATTTTGTTTTGTTTTGAACTACATTGGAGGGCCAGCGATTTAGTTCAAAAGCGCAGCACCTGGATGGCAAGTGCAAAGTTCTGAATTTGATTCCTGGTACCAAAAGAAAAAAGTATTTTGGAGGCTGGTTGTGGTGGTGCATACCTGTAATGCCAGCACTTGGAAGGCTGAGGCAGGAGGACACCGCAAGTTCCCAGCCTAGGATACTTAGTGAGTTCAAGGCCAGCCTGAACTGTAAAGTGAGATAATGGCTCATTCAGGTGTAAACACATGGCCTCTCCAGATTGACCCATCGAAAGGGTAGCGAAGGGTAGCGCCCTCGTGACCCAGTTGTTTTCTCACCCCCCAGCATTGCTGCTTTGGGGATCAGCCCTTCTACATGAACATGGATGTGAAAGAAACTTCACTTCAGTTACAACTGTAGTGTTTTTGTGGGGGCCTGGAGAGGAACACAGATCCATTTGTACTTCCCACTATCTTACCCTGAAACTCTTCTCACCTCAGGGAACCCTTTCACTTGTCCTTGATTGGGTTTTGACATACCATACTAGTTTCTGTTTTGGACCCCTTGTATTGGCTTATGTGTATATTGACCTTGAATACTTATTTTTCCAAATTTCCACATGCCTGACTCTGTTTTGTTTTTTTTTTAACTGCCATTGGGGTGGGGGGAGACGGGGCGTGGTACTGTGTGCCTGTAATCCCAGCTCTTGGGAGGCTATAAAACAGGTGGATCTGGATCACTATGAGGCCAATCTAGTAGTGAGACCCTGAACACCCTGTAGACCCTTCCCTAAAAATACAAAAAAAAAAAAATAATAATAATAATAATAATAAATAAATAAACTGCCATTTGGGCCAGCGAGATAGCTCAGTAGACTAAAGTGCCTGCTTAGGCAAGCCCAGGGACCTCAGATTCCTGGCACCACATGCCTTGCCAGCCCTGCTACTAGGGTGGGCTGAGCCGGCCCAAGTCCAGACGTGGTGGCGCATACCTGTAATCCCAGTGCCAGGGAGGCTTAAAGCAGGAGGATCACTATGAGTTGGATCCACATAGTGAGACCCTATAGACCCTGCAGACCCTGTACCAAATACATTTTTAAAAAAACCAAAAACTCTGCCATAATTATTTTAGTTTTCAGATTTTATTTGTGGTTCCCCCCGTCTTAAAAGATTATTGAGGACATTAGTTATAAAGGGTTTTCTTAAATTTTTAGGTTTCTTTTCTCCCTTGGCTCCTGTACGCATTTTGTCTCTTCTGAACTCCTCCGCTTTGAGTCTTGCCTTTGATTTTGGGGGCTTTCTCAACTGTTTATTAGTGATTGGTTTGTTGCGAATAAAGTATGTACAAGCTGGTGGGAACACACACACAGGCTTCTTGGCACTTGCTGTGTGAGGTCCTGCCCCACTTCGGGATGCTGCCAATAAGAAGCACGTCATCAGATGCTTTGTTTCAACCTGGCCCAGAACTGTGAGCGAAAACAAATCTCTTTATAACTTAAAAAAAAAAGAAAAAGAAAAAAACCCAATCTGTTGTAGGTATAGTAGTATCAAAACAGTAGTATTTGTAATGGCCCCAGATTGAAAACACCTCCAGTGTCCATCAACAGTAGAGTAGAAATAAATTGTGGTGTAGACATATAATGGAATACTGTTTGGGAAAAGGATGAATGAACTGCAGCTGCTTGCTGGATGTAGGTGTCTCTTGCAAGCATGCTGTTAAGTATAGACGCTAGACACAGACGTCCGTGTTGTGGGCTTCTGTATGGTTCATGTTCAAGGCAAAACTCATCTCTGGTGTTAGTCATACAGTGGTTGCCTACGGAGGGGCGGAGTGGCTAGTGCCTGGAAAGGGGTGCGTCTTCTGGGGTGCTGGTTATATTTTGTCCTTTGAATGAGATCCAGAATTGCAGTGTGTCATTTTCTTGAGCTGTATTTCCTATTTGTGTGATATGTGGTATGTGCACATCAAACGAAAGTTGAATCTCTTGTTGCATTGGGTTTGTTTTTGAACCACTTAGAGAATGTGCACATATTGGATATTCAGGCAACCTTTTGTGGGGGAGTCCCTGAGTGCCACCGTCTGAAGACACGGCGTAGCTGTGTTTGTTTTTTCCGCCATATTTAACTGGAAGCCTTCTGTATTTTTTCTAAATCTCATTTAGAGACAAAGCAAGTTATCTTTTGCAATACTAAGGATTTAACCCAGGCCATTGCACATGCTAAGTGAGTGCTTCACCACTGATGTACAGCCCTAGCCTTTTTTTTGGGGGGGGGATGGGGAGTAGGTGGGTGGATCAAACCCAGAACTTTGCACTTGCCAGGCAGGTGCTTGTGCCACTGAGCTATACCCCCCCACATACCCCAGCCATCTTTTATTTTGAGACAAGGTCTTATTAAGTTGCCCAAATAGGCCTTGAACTTATGATTCTCCTGCTTCAGCCTCTCAGGTAGCTGGCATTATAGCCGTATGCTATCCTGCCCCAGGAAAGGCAATGTATCTTTTATTATTATTATTATTATTATTATTGTCATTATTATTTTATTATTTTATGTATTTAGTACAGGCTGTGGTCTATAGGGTTTCACTACATGAATCGGACTTGTAGTGATTCTCCTGTTTTCAGCCACCCAAGTGCTGGGATTACAGGCATGTGCCACCATGCCCATTCTCACTTGCTGTCTCAGTGCACCCTGGGGGCAGGGCTGGCAAGGCACGCTGGGTTTGAACCCTAGTCCTTGCGTCTGCCTAAGCAGGTGCTTTAATCCGCTGAGCTGTCTGGCCAGTCCTATGGCAATGTATCTTTTGTAAGATACCCAAGATGAGACAGAAGCATCATTTCTTCTTCAAGAAGCACATTCCTAGAGTTGAAGTTGCCAGTCAGCAGATATTTACAAAAGACAAGTCCATGTCCTTCTGGACTGTGCAGCATAGCAGAAACTGTAAGCTCTAGTATAAACAGGATGAGTTCTAGAAGGGAAATAACTGCTATGAAGGACTAGGAGAGGGAGAATGTAGCATTGTTTTAAGGCAGGGAAGGCTTCCCTAAGTTACTTATGTTGTAGTTAGAGAAAGAATAAGGGAAAAATTCAACTTTTATCTTAGTGATCATTTTGCTTGATGTGAACCTCTTTACTCGTATCTGTCTGACCACCCTGTTGTGTGATTTCAGGTGGAGAGTATAGTGAAGATGATGTAAGTGAATTAGTGAAGGAAGATGAAGTCGATGGTGAAGAGCAGACACAGAAAACCAAAGGGAAAAAAAGAAAAGCTCAGAGCATTCCGGCCAGGTGATGCTGCGCTCAAGGCCCTTAGAAGTCAGGGGCTGATTGCTGAGATTGGTCTCATACAGAATCCCACCTACACTACATCCCCAGCCCTTCTGGAGAGACAGCATCTTGCTAAGTCACTGAATTTTGATCTTCCTGCTCATCTTCTCAGGGTGTTGAGATTATAGGTGTCTACTTCCGTGTCTGACCTTCATACTTTCTTAAATTTTTTGAGTCAAGGTCTTGCTAAGTCCCTTAATTACCAGGCTTGGGATCAAACTTGTGATTCCCTTGCCTTAGCCACAAGAGTGCTCAGATTATAGGAGGGCATTTTTTTTTTTTTTTTTAAATTTTGTTTTGTTTTTTGTTTTTGGTGGAACTGGGGATTGAACTCAGACACTTGCACTTGCCAGGGAAGCGCTTATTCCACTGAGCCATCTCCCGGCCCCGGTGTGCGGTATTATGCCCAGTTTTATGATAGATCTTTTTTAAATGATGACAAAGTTTATTTGAAAAAATAAAGAATGTGGGAGAAACTGGCTCTGCAAAGTGAGCTTGGGCCAAGTAAAAGAGGAAAAAGCAAGATGGAAGTATATCCTCGAGGACACAGGGCGGGCTGTCATGAGGAAGCCACGATAGCGGGTAGATTTCTTTTTTTTTTTTTTTGGCTGTACTGGGGTTTGAACTCAGGGCCTTGCACTTGCTAGGCAAGGGGATAGATTTCTTATTGACAGGATTTCCAACTCTTTTCTCTTTGAGGGAAATATTTGTTAATATTTTAGAATTAAAAAAAAATTTAGAATTCTTGGTTTCTGCAAGCCTAAAAAATTTCAGGTTTTTATTTTTAAAATTATAAGCTTTGTTGAACTGGTTAAAACAAAATATTAATATTAAAAAGGGCTTGATGCTTTGCCCTGAAGAGCTCCGTTACTGAAGATACTTTGTGCAGGAACAACATGTATGCAAGTATTTCCAATCTTTGTGGGGTTTTTTTTTTCTCTTTTTAAAAAGTACAAATGCTTAACACACCTTACGTATAATTTTTCATTTTGCTTATTTCTTAGTGGTACTATGACAGCGCCTTTAGACATTGTTCATTCTTTTCAACTACTACATAGGATTATATGGATAGGTCTTACTTTAAACATTTCTGTATTGCAGAACACTTAGATTGTACCTAGTCTTTACTACAGTGAACAAGACTGTAGTGAATATTCTTTGTACAAGTTTTAATTACATGAGTAAGTAACTCTGAGTCAAATTTGTAGGTGTGGAATTGTTTGAGCTAAGGATATGTGAAGTTAAATTTTTAAAAATAGTAGATTTCCTTCCATAGACCTGATATTTAATTATACTCTGACCAAAAACTAGGAAAATTCTGATAGGGTATGTAACTCTAATGCAGATTTTATTTTTTTAGTTTTTTGAGATAGGGTCTCATTGTGCCATCCAGGCCGATTTTGAACTCACCATGAAGTTCGTGTTGGCCCCAGATGCTCAGTGATCCTCCTGCATTAGCCTCCCAAGTGCCGGGATTGCAGCGTGCACCACCATGCCTGGCATGAAGGCGTCTTCTAAGAAGTCTTTTTCCTTATTGGTGTTTCTGTCTTCCTGGGGATTAGAGCAAAACCATATTGTGGTTTATGAAAAGGAAAAAAAAAATTTTTTAGATACTGGGTAACTCATCAAAGTCAAAATAGTATAAAAGGCCGTTCTTTTAGAGTTGTGCGCCCAGTCCTTTCGTCCACCGGTTGTGAGCTGTGTCTACTTTTCATTTCTTTACAAAGTGGGATGAAACATTGACATTTTTTCCATGACAACTTTTTAAAGAAATAATGCAGATAAGTTTGAGCTTTTTCAGAAAAGAATTTGCAGCTTCTTAAAAGGTCAAAAAATACGGGGTGTATTTTGTCCTTAGAACACTAAATAGTAATCCTGAGTGATTTTATGCATTTTCTTAGTGAATATAGCTGGTTATCATTTAGAACACTGTATTTTGATTCAAAATAATTGGAAATGCTAATAATTGAACAAGTCCAGTTCTTTTTTTCTTCCACAAAATCATTTTACCTCTGTTGGTCCCCTTGTTATGTTTATTACTACGGTAGTTCCAAATTTGAATTATTTACTTATTTAGTGGTTTTTTTGTTGTTGTTTGTTTGTTTTTTTGTGGAACCGGGGATTGAACTCAGGCCCTTGCGCTTGCCGGGGAAGCGCTTATTCCACTGAGCCATCTCCCCGGCCCTTATTTAGTGTTTTACTTATACAAGTTATGATGGAATTGAGGAAGCGATAACAGGTCATTTCCGTTGTCTTCCTTTTGACTTCCTTTTCTTTCCTTTTCTTGGTGACTGTTGGTGATCAGGAAGAGAAAACAAAGTGGCTTCCTGTTAGAAGAAGAGGAGGAAACCAAGGCAGAATCTGGAGGAAGCAGCAGTGAGGAGGATGAGGTAGACAAGCAGGACAGGGGCGCTGGGCCCGAGGACACGAGGAGAAAGGAGGATGAGCTCTGGGCCAGCTTCCTCAACGACGTGGGACCAAAATCAAAAGTGCCCCCAAGTACACAGGTGACGGTAAGCTTAGGGGCTAAGGTGATAAGTACCTCTCCAGAAACACTCTTCCTTCCCCTGGTAGTTTTTTTTGTTGAATTTACCATCTAAGATTTGAATCTTACAGCAAACAGGCTAAATGCCTTTTTGATAGTACCTTCTTTACCAAGTGAAAAGTGAAGTATTCCTTATGATAGGAACATTAGCCAATTTCTAGTCAAGCCTATTTGTAGTTTAAATTTTCAATAGGTCTTTAATAACTGATTAGAAATAAAACATTTAAGAACAGCAGTACACAGCATGATCAGATGGGCTCTTTCCAGTTTGGTGAAACTAACTACTTTTCTTGCTTTTTTCATAGACAGGAGAACAGGCTGAAGAGACAAGTTCAAGTAAATCTTTGGTCAAAGCAGAAGAGCTAGAGAAACCAAAAGAAGCAGAAAAGGTTAAAATCACCAAGGTGTTTGATTTCGCCGGTGAAGAAGTAAGGTAAGGAGGCTTGTATACAAATTGAAATTAGTTCTTTAAAAATGGGCCACGTGTGGTGGCTGCAAACACTGGTATCCTAGTTATTCGGGAGCCTGAGGCATGAGGCTGTCAGGTTTGAGGTCAGACTGGGCAGCTTGATGAGACCTTGTCTCAGATTTATAAGTGAAAAGCCCTGCAAGTGTAACTTGTGCAGAGCACTTGCCTAGCATACGTGAAGCCCTGGATTGCATCCCCAGAACTGCAAAAAGAAAACAAAACATGAGTGTCTTTCTAAATGGGATTAGACATGTGTCCTCATTCCAGCCATCTTACTATTTTGCATAAGTTTATATTTCTGCTTGCTCTTTGCCATGCTTTGTGTCTTTGAATAAGTCGTCATTTCTTTTTGAACTTTCCGTGGCTAAATTGGAGCCCCAGTGAGCCTCCCAAAGTTAAGTAAGAATTGAAAGTGCTAGGAGCAAAATTTGGTTCCAGTATTATTTCCTCATTTTGAAATCATTGTTTAGATTGTTATCAGATTTGTTTCCTGTGTCATTTTAGTCAAAGCAGATGCCTGGGCAGGTGTGGTGGCACGCACCTGGCATCACAGCGCTCAGTTTCAAGGTAGCCTGGTTACAGCGCGTTAAACGTGGCCCCTTCTTGGCTATTTAAATTTTATTTATGAGCAGGTACGGGGTGCACGTCTATCATCCCAGTGCTGGCGAGCTGAGGCAGAGGATCATTGCAGGTTCAAGGCCAGCCTTGGTGACAGAGTATATGTGTGTGTGTGTGTGTGTGTGTGTGTGTGACCAGGGATTGAACCC